TCCCTCTCCCAATTCCCCAATAAAATCTTGAAAAAAAAAAAAATCAAGAAAATGCCATTAAAAAAGCCGTGAAATATTCATTGGCTTGTGAGATGGTACAAGCCAGCTCAAGCATACCACTGATTAAACTGCAAGTTCCTATATGGTTTTGTTCTGTGCTAAGACTTCCTTCACAGTCGACTGAATTCATGTATTACCATTGCAAACTGCAGAGGGACATTTGGTATTTTATAAAATGCCTTATATGGTATACTATACAAAGAATCTCTGAATCCAAAGTGTACGTATTTAGGAAGAGCCATAAACAAAATTAGAATGTCTTAAAAGTTTCTTATAAACCATTAACTCAACAGTGGTGACTTAACTTCTTAAAGCAAAGAGAAACTCTGAATTAGCAGCAAAATACCAGCACTGCATTCAGAAGGAAGACTGTCCCCCTAACCTAGAGATGCATGTCATTTGACTTCAGTATTAACAATTAGTATTTTATACAATATTTAGAAGAAATTAGACGTGCTAATTGGAAATTTTATTAAGATCTTTATAATGTACTGCTTCTGACTTCTGACAATTATTCAAGTAAGAATAATGAATCTAGGACAAAGCTATACACAATACTTCCTACCACCCACATCTCAGCAAACAATTTAGAAAGGAGTTCCTTAGGCTTGTTTGGTTTAGAGATCACCAGCACAGGCAATGCCCCACTTAAAGGTTCATGCTAGGGTGCGAAGGCATTAAGTTAATATAAATGAACACTACCTTGACTGGAGGCTGTCTTGTCTTTATCAATCACTATTACACCTGTGAGTTCTGTTTTGTCTGTATCTGGTAGTGGAGTATCAGATGAGATGCAGTAGAACAGAGCACAAATTGGGTCAAATTCAGGATCTGGTTCTAAGTCTCGTCTAGTCCGAGCATGTAACTCCACACTAATTAGGGTAAGATTTTGTATCTATAAAAGGGAAAAAAAATTATGCTCTTAAACACTTTTAAAACATGCTGAAAAAAGTGTGTTTCACTAAGACTCCAAGGAAATAATGTAAAATTGAAAACAGAAAGCATGACCACAAAAGGCACAGAGTTTAACACTCTACAGATTAAACTAAAGATTTTAAAGTATAAGATTAGATTAAATCAATTTATTTTTTATTTTAGAAAATCTGCTTATACTGTAATTTCTCAATGTCAATATATATTTAAAACTATCTAAAATACAGGCAGTGCTTCTTGATTTCTGTTTGAGAAAGAAAATGAAAATGTCTTCCATTTGCCANCACCTTGTTCAGTTTTTCGCAAATAAAGACAGGTCCTTCTATGAATGAGGAATTATGAAGCTCACTGAAAGATGGCAAAACGTTATCGAACAAAACGGGCAATGTATCATTGATTGATCTTTCTTCTTTATATAAATAAATGACCTTTGAAAAACACAAAATACGTCATGACTTTTCCGACAACCCAATATGTCTCTCAGATGGGGAAGGGATAATACAATGGTTATCTACAGAATTTCTACACAGGATGGAAGGGGCAATTTAGAGCTCTTATTTGGAGGTACTTTTGTAAAGCAAGCATAGTTTTTACTTAAATTGTGTATTTATTTGCTATAACCTGGGAAATTGGGGTGGGAGGGAGGCATTACCACTGAAGTATATGAGGGAGAGTGTGATTGAGAATAATGCAGGTAGAGGCAGGGTGAAGAGTGAGGGCATGAGTGGATACCGTATTTTGAAAAGATCTCTCAGGTCATTCTGTTGTCACTTTTCTACCCTTCTAACCTATACTGTCCTTAAATAGTTTTAATGCTGAGAAAGAAAATGAAAATGTCTTCCATTTGCCACTCTATTTTATCAATGAGTTGGTTCTCACACGAAGTAAGGCCTCATCAATGACAAGTTTGTCCTCTAAACTTATGAGGAAGGTGACTCAGTTTAATGGGAGACTGAAATATTAACAGGGGTGAGATTTATGTGGGGAAGGCAGCATCAGAAACTAGGAGAAAAATGTGCTCATTGTGGTCACAGAGCTGCACTGGTAAATTGAACTGACAATCTGCATCCAATTCAGGAGCTTCTTTGTGGCTCTTCCTATGACTTCCATGGTGACCACCATGGGAAAATGTGTACGGAAGAGAGAAACTGATCAGTCATAAATTGAGAGCAAAAAGTACAGTTACACTATCAAAACAGAAGCTCCAAATTATTCTGATTATTGTATTGTTTATAAAAACCAAAAAAGCAGAGTGAAAAATCACAAAAACTTATAAAGTTGTGGTTTACATAATTGCTTGTAAAGGCACTCTGAATTGTGGGATGTGCAGTCTGTCCAGATTGTATCATTTAACACCTGAAGTAGACTCCAATGTCTGCAGTATAGAATGACATTAATTTACTGATATAAGCTATATATGGCTACTCTGTAAGTCTGTGGTATAACAATTGATCATGAGCAGATCACCAGATATATTTTTAGAACCGGTTTGGTAATGTTTGTCATAGCTCCATAGATACTTTCTTAAAATAGATGCTGACTGGCTTTAGTTTTTACTTGTAAGAATATCTCCTTATTTTTTATCCTGGAGGGTTTAAGTGGGTGATGTCAAAAGAACTAGGTTCAAACTTCTGCAATACCATTCTTTTTATTTACCCTATTCCTTACTTAAAGACCTTATGAAAGTACATTCCATATTGTAAATTTAATATCTGGTGATCTGCTGGTGATCCATTGTTGTACCAAAGACTTACAGAGCAGACCTCAACTTGTCAGGAGAAAAAGATAACATGTATATCCTCCATGTGCTTTTCTCTATACAAATAGGATTGAAATTTCTAAGAAAACTGCTTAATTTAATAAGTTACTAATTTGATATAACAGCCAAATGGACCTTTTCACCCGCCTATAAAAATGTGTTTTCTTGGTAGAAAGTGCTATGTGGCTGGTAATTTTGGAAGAAAGAGCAGGATTATGGAATGAACATGGGGAAGCAAAAGAAAGCAAGGCAATATGCAACAACAAGGCGAATTCTTAGTCTCAGAGCTCAAAAGCTAAAAAGGCAGATTAACTTTTAAAAAGGAAGTCAGCAAGGTCCTAAGGCACTAAAGAAAAGAGGTCTCCCAACATTAGAGTGAGACTCAGAGCAGTCAGAGATGACCTATCTGTATGACAAGTATATCTCCCTATAAAACTAACTATTGAATGTTTAAATTATCAAGTGGCTCTGAGGATTTTCAGGGATAAGAGATTGGAAGAATTACCATATACACACAAAAGAACCCATGCAGTTGACTGCTGGCACAAAAAACAGAATGAATTGAAACTCACATTTTCCTTTGCCCACACTTTTATTATTGAAATAAAAGTGTGGGCATGAAAGCATCTGACATGTTGATGACCACCTCTGTGAGAAGATAAAAGGTAGGACAACGACAAGACTCAAATGGATGGAAATCCATCCAGTCACCAGTGCTATAAATATAATAGTAAAAATTCTTTTTTCCTCCCTAAAGTGGTGGGTAGCATATCATTTTTGATGCTCTGACATTTAATTTAATTTTGTTTTGTTGAAAACATTTTCTGGTTTTTAAATTTCAGAATGGTTTATGTTAACCCATTTGGGATTCAATCAGATGTTGAGTGGGTAGAATTTCATCCTGATCTTTAATGCAGAGTATCATCTCAGTTTACAGGCTTTACAAGAGTTCAACTCTAGAAAGTTCAACTCAGTTTTACAAGAGTTCAACTACAGAAAGCAGAACAGAAAGGGTGGAGTATAACAACAGGATCAAGGACAGGTTTTATCCACACATCAGGATCCAAAGAATATTTTCTAGCCTGATATAAGCATTTTAAAACCAAACCTAGCAATGGGCAGACATTGTAAGTTCCTAGAGAGATGCATTTAATAAGAGAGTCCATGGCTACCAAGAGTTATACTCTTGAGAAAATGCAAAAAATCCACTTAACTATTTTATTTTTAAATTAAATTTAGTAACAGGTTGCATTCCAAAGTTTTTTGGAAACACTGGTTTAGAACTCAGAAAACATTTTCTACAAAAAAAACAAAACAAACAAACAAACAAAAAAAAAAGGGTATGGAAACAGTGGCTGGCCTCCAAGGTAAAAGCCTATTTAATGAATAACTTTAGTATAGTTCCCCATTATTTCACTACTGCAGAAAAATCATGTTGAAATCCAACTGGGATAGCTAGGGGCTCTTTCACTGATCCCTCAATCTTGAGAACAGAATATTCTTTTTCCTACCCCTAATCTGATGGAGGCGGTAGAAAGTGAGGGCCAAATCTTCTCAAGGATAACACTGTTTTCAAGGAAAGGGTTCTCTTCCTCTGTCCTACCTTCACCTATATTAATCAGCAGCAGCATGAAATGATTCTTTGAACAAAAACTGGAAAACAAAAATCAGAAAATGCAAAACAATACCTTTTTATTATATCTGTAATTTCTTGAAAAAGTGCCTTCTCATCAGCAGCATATGTAACTTCTAGTCTTGTAATTCCAGATCTAATAAGTAATGGGGTCTGATATCTGATATCTAAGAAATAAACAAAATGTTTAGTATACATAAGTGTATAAGTAATACTATTCCTTACTTTTGATTCAAATTATGCTACTGAAATACTTCAAATTAAGAGTGTTCCCCAAAATAAATACATAATTAACCAATTTCTTGAAAAATTTCTTAACAGTTTTCTAGTTTAATATGAAACTGAAAATTCAAATTTCGTATTTTCAGTTATTTTCCTGAAAGGCCTACATTCACAAAATTTCCCAGATAATTATGTCACCCGAAAAGAAATTATATTACTTTGTTTCTGTCTTTACTCTTCCTACAGGAATAGCTTTACTTAGTAGATAATATTTTAATCAGTGTTATGATGGAAAATGTTCACAATCACCTCTCTGCGGGGGCGGGGGCAACCCTGATTTGTAATGCTTGCCTATTTCCATGATGTAGAGAGACTTCTCACCATGGCTGATATCAAACTGCCAATGTAAAATCAGCTAGTTCAAAAAACTCATGAAGGGCTGGCCGAGTAGCGGGTTTGGTTAAGAGTTGGCTTGGGACGCCAGCTCTGAGCAGCATGGCCCTGGTACGGATCCCACATGAGGGTCAGTGACGCTAGAGGTACAGCTAAGATGGTGAACAACAGCACGACCTGGAGCTGGGCTGCCATGAGTTGCCGGCGACAGCACAGGCTGCAGTGGAGTTGCAGTGGGCTGTTGTAAAGCTACCATGAGTGGCGGGCAGCCAGTGTGAGTTGCCAAGAGTTGCCGTGAGTGGC